TTATATGAATTCTGAAATATACTAACTAACCATACATTATATATGTAAAATTATTGCTAATAATCATTATGTGAAATGTGTTTTATAACTTTTATACTTAATTATACATTGTTTACTAACCACACTTTAGACATTGTAGAGTTTTCCGCTCATAGCATCCATTTCTATGAAAGCAAAGAAATCATGTAAATCTCACTTACTCGAGAAACCGCACATAAAAACCTTAAAATAAGTGAATAATCGACATTATTCCTTATAGACAAGATTATCTTTTGTAGGGTTCTTGTTCATTTCTTGTGATTACTGTATTCTTTATAAATTTCCAATGTAACCATTGCTCTTCATGAAATAAATTGATTGATTAAAAAAAACTTCACTGTGGGGTTTTCACTGAACAGTTTTACGAGAAAGCAACACTTGTTTCGCCATACAATGGCTTCTTCAGACGTGTCTTTACTAGCAAAGGATGATACACCCTGTACACACATGTTGAGTTTGACTTTTCCTTTCTTCAACAATCCATGTTTCTCGGGCGAGTTGAAATAAAAGCGAAGTATCTTCGACGAATATACTTAGTTCCGCATTCATACTGCCAAAGTTATAAAAAGTCAACCTCTATCAATCTGTTGAATCTTTGCGAATCGTGTGCTCCGCACGTTCTAGAAAAAACTCCAATTTAACCAGGTCCTACTGAAAACAAAAATAGTATATCGAAATGGATATTGCGGAATACGAAAATGGAACATACTGAGATATCTTCTCATCGATTAGGGTGTTGGCAATGTGAATAAAAGCAATAAATTGAAAGAATTATTGCTATATTTGATTTCCAAGTATTAGGAAATCTGTGGGAGAAGAAAGGTAAAATATGAGAGATCGCATATAGATAATTTTGGATGAAATTTTCGATTCAAATGAGGAGTTGCCATTCTTCGATTTCTTAGTGATAAGAAGTGACCAGGATCTGGAGTTTGATGTCCAAAGAAATAAAACTAGTACTTTTAGATACATTACAAGTTGGCCCACACCATTGACATAGCAGCCAGTTCTGTTTGAACCACGCTGATATTTTTTCCCATTCCCCACTTAATCCTTAGGCTTAGTGATCTGGAGTAAATTCCACATCCTGAGGTTTTCGAGCCGTCTGTATGTATGCGACTTGCATTTGTAGCATCTGACTCTGTGTTCCGTTTCATTTGTATTNTTACCAGTTTTGATAGCAGTGGGGCCCCATTTTATTATTTGTCCCAGGGCCCTTACCTAGCTACGCCACTGCACACATGAATATAAAACAGTTCATTTTCCACTAGGGGGCGCCAGTCGTCAATCGAACAAGATCAATTAACTTACTTCTTCTTTTGATCGAGCGAAACATCATTTCAAAATATGAAGGGTAGCATCATATGTATTATTTGGGTAGAAGTTCCACCTCTCGAAATCTGCTATTGCTGTTGAGACTCACAATAAACGAGAAAGCTTCTAAACCATTTATGGGATACAACAGTCTTTGTAACGCGAAAAAGGGCCAATGAGAAAGATAAATATGAGAATCTCTACTAGAAAAACAGGTTTAAACCTACGGAATCTGCACAAAATAACCACAGGGCTACTCACGGGACACATACCTATTTAGAGGGCACCTGAACAGAAATAGGATAGACCTTTGCAGCAAACAATGCAATCTGGTGAATATTATTATCAACCCAAGAGGAAAATTTAAATTTTCTTATTCACGTTTAACGCCTCAGTTCTAGCAGAGTATTGAGTTTCTAATGGGGAGTTCACATGTAATTTTGAATAACTCTTTTAAATTTCCATCGGTGAAATTGAACTTCATACCTAATAATCGTCCCAGAAGCGAAGTAAACATATCTTCTCGTATTTCTTTTTCACCATCATTGTTCGAAAGAGACTTTTGTTTCAGAGTAATAAATCTCTAATCACCTATAATAAATGAGAGTTCCTAAATTGTCGACAATGTTCTTGAGAGAGGAATCATTTTCATGTGTAGCTAGTTTACGACAGAAGCTGTCAGGCAACCAGTTATACACATAGACGTTGTCATGATTGCCAAGAAATTTACTATCCTCCTGTTCAACTTCTTCATTCAACACAAGTATATGGGGTCCGATCGAGGTCATCTTTTTGTTATTTTCAACGAAATCGTATCTTAACTATATAAATAAATATGTCACTACATAAATAAGATGAATCACGTCAGAAAATTCCCCGTATTTTCGATTTCCCAACTCTTAGATTCCCCATAACAGTTTTTGATCCTTTCAACAAATAATGAATGAGTCAAAGATCAGCTCGCCGGAAAACAATGATAAGTAGCCAGTTGCATTTAACACTTCGATAAGAATGACCGGGAACATTTCAATGACTATTTTGCAATATCGTCATGCCAGTTCTCATTCAGCTCCCCGTTTTTTGGTTTCACCTTCACCGCAAGTCTTCACATCATCACCGATGCTAATAATACTCATTACATCATCGTACGCTAATGTTAATCATCAATTTGTGCATGACATCATCGAAAACAATATACATACAGGCAGATACACAGGTCAGGCTTTGATTTTGCAATGAAAAATTATTTATATTGTACTAGTTTTTGGAAATTTTGATCGTTGTTGCTTGCACCAGTCTTCTGGAAGAAGACAAAGATGTCATTGGGTAAAGGATCCACTTTTCATCACACTTGACGATCCGATCCAGATGTAGGATATCGTTTTGGTTGCGCAAAAGTAGAAGAGAGCATACCTCGAAATGTGACAATATGCATTACGACAGTATCAAAAAATTATCGATTTAATGGTTTTAGGGAAAAATTCATTTGAAAAATGTAAAACACTGCTCAGATTATTAGGATTTTCGATAAAATAAAAAATACTGCAATCGGTCATTTTGACTGAAATACCAATCACAGTACATGACGTCACGCCTAGATAAACCCCGNTATTGACAGCAGGGTTCCCACAAATGAAATTGAACTTCTTTTCAGTTCGATCTTGTCATTTGTTATATTAGCATTGTCCAAAAAATACTTGATCATTTTGGTTTTCCATTCTGCACATTCCGTTCAGTAATTTGTCTTCCCAAACATCAAATGTTAAAGGTACGGCCTTGACTACTCAATCTCAACATTACGATGAATAACTGATGAGAATAATAGCGATAATATCACTCATAAGATTGAAAAGAAAAATGAAAATTTCTATGTTTTTTACCACTTTTAATTGTAACTAACGTTACTGCAGTTGCGTCCTATATGGACATTCTCAAACTAATACAATAAACTAACAATGATTCATTACATTCGTCAATATATACCAATCAAGTACTTCATTGAGTACTTGAATTTACAGTTCACAATGACACTATTACACTCCGGACACTTCCATCATCGACCTAAAGTCATTGATATTCCACAATTGAAAATCGAAATCCATCTTGAATTTAGTCAGGTTGGAGCCTGGCTCCCTTACCTTTTGAACTGATGTTTGCCAGAAGGACAAACGGTTCATAACTGATGTGGGTGTTAATAGTATGGCGACATGAATGTCCTCAGATATCAGTACCGCCCTTCACGGTGTACCCCTGCCTGGCTGGGGTGAATTGGATGAAAAACGTTGTTCATCTTTCATCGGAGGATATAGGGGCCTCATTCGACAGAGTGTCGGGGCCTTCTATATCGGGAGGGGTCGTCTACAGTATAATCTATGAAAATCCATTTCTAGNTTTTCGAATTCATACTTAAAAATCGTTTATTGCAAAATACAAAAAACTGTTGCAGTGCAGATGATGTTTTATCGACAGTTTCGTTAAGAAAAGTTGAAATAGGCCTTCAATATCCCTTCGAGTATGGACACTTACGTTCAAAATGTGAGTTATTTCACTCAACAGCGTTTATTTAGAATAATCCTAACAGCAAACTTTTGAACCACACTGAACTGTATTTCCAAAAGGAATTGGTTTTGTCACTGTATTCACGTTCCTTCAAGTTTTCTAGTGTTAGTAAGTCTGAAAAATTTTCTATTCTACGCATTAAAATAATAATCAGAATTGATTGATTTAAGCGGAACAAAAACAATCAAATCAAACATCTTAAATTCGACTCACCAATATTAACCAAACATAAAATGGCAAGGACACTGGGTACGAAGTAGGCCATTTTCATGAATTCAGGACTAATACTGCACTGAGAATGTTAACGGAATATATCAGGAGAGTCTAAACTTTAGAAATAACCTCGAACGGCGCCAAATCGCAAGTGTGTCATTTCCCTTTCCCAGTGGAAGGAACTATAGAGATGCAACTCATCGTTTGTTTTCGTTAGCCGCCGCAAACTAGGAAAAAAGATATATTTGATTTTTCAGGTACAGGGTCTTTATTTCGTCGGTACAATAAGATGAAATCCGACGAAAATAAAGTAAATTTTTTATGGACGAAAGATGAGCACTACAGAAAAATCTTTGAAGCGCTCTAAGAGCGGTACCTGTGCGAAAGTAGAGATTAATATCGGACTCAGATTAACATTGGACTCAGAATGTTATTTCCTTCCTGACAAGCCAAATGTATGATGCACTTGATAAACGAGGGGTGTCACTTTGTTTGCTAAGGCGTTCGAAACTATATCGATCATACACAGTTGTTGGAAGTCTTGGACAGTATTGGCTTCCGAGGAAATGCTTTGAAATCTAATTTGGACTCTCAAGAAAACAATTCGTGACTATAAACGGATGTATAAGTGAAGGAAGAACTGTACTTTGGGGAGTTCCACAAGGAACAGTTCTAGGGCCAATTCTCTTCGTGATTTATATAAACAGCTTACTCACCTTGCAAACATGTGTAAATATCATCAGCTATGCTGACTATACTGCTATATTTTATGGTGCAGATTCTTGAGACAACTTGAAAGATATCGTTGAAGAAGATTTCAGCCACCTGATAGATTGGTTTGATCACAAACTACTCACTATTAATCTATGTTCCTACCGCTGAGCTGTTATGCTTCCAACTTGCCCAATTATGAAAAGTTGTCTTTCAGCAACCACGGAACTACTTTTGAAATTAGCACAACCGACCAAATCAACCCTGTTGATAGACACTCAAGATGGAATAAACATGTCGACAACGTAACAAATTCCCTCAGAAAATCAATATATAAATTCAGAGTATTATTGAAGATGCTTGATATGCCTGAATTAATCACAACTTATTATGCACTCGTTGGATCTAGGCTCTCGTATAGCATAATAGACTATATAATGAAACATTTTTTTTTATATCAGACAGCTATTCTTTCAGAAAAATTTGATACATCAACACAAAAATGAAGAGCCTAATTTTAGTATCGCATTCCTATCATACA